AAAAGTAATTTGAGTTTATCATAATTTTTGTGACAGTTCCCTTATTATTGGAGATCTGAATTATTTTCAGTTTTCTACTGTTACTAAGTATTATTTGTAATCAGGGACTGGTTAAGTGCATGAGACAGACCCTCAAAAAAATGAAGCAACTTGCTTAAGGTTGTGCTATTATCTTACCCAACCTTGGACAGCAGTGAGTATTCTTAACCTGCTAATTTGATAAGAAAAAAAAATAGTCACTAACTATTATTCTTGAATTGTTATTGAACAAGTAATTCACATGACTTTGGGGAATTTACTTAATTGCTTTAAGTATCAAGTTCTTCATTATGAAATGGGAGTCAATGTGTTGAGGGTTAGGTAATTCATACAGAGTATTTAACACAGTATCTAGCATATAATTAAGGTTCCCCCAAATTGTTATTATTATAATTAACGTGTTCATTATAGAAAAGTTAAAAAAACAAAGATAAGCTAAAGTAACAAAATAGAACTATCCTGTAATCCAGAGCTATGATCATGAGTATTTTGTTGGTTCTCCCTTTTTTATAGGCATCTGTGTGCATATGTTATCAACTGGAAACAGAGCAAGTTACAAAACCATACGTGCAGTTCCTACCTTGCAGACCTCTTTGTAGCTTTAGTGCTACTAGTCTTGTCACTTGTCTTTTGGGACACTAACCTCTCCTTGTTTTCCACTATTTTTTACTCAGCATCCTTTGAGGGTTCACAGTTGTCACAGGAGCGAGTGTTTCCAGAAGGAAAATGAAATCAACAGTCTTAAACACAGCACAGAGCTGAGGTGAGATAAGGACTTGGGTATTTCAGTAGAGTAGTGGGAGCAAACCCCGGTGGCAGTGGGATAGGTGGTGAATGGAAGGTAAGTAGAAACCACCTTTTCCTGGAAGTGTGAATGAGAAACAGGGTTTCTAATGTGGGAGAAGATTAAGTTTTTTTATTGACTGAGAGGAAGACAGTATGAGGCCAAGATCACAAGACAGATACAGCGGCTGGACGACTGGTGGAACAAGGTACCCAGGACGAAGGGCCGAGGTCTGGAGGGCAGCAGTGCAGTTCCCACGGGGTTGAACCCGGGGTTGACACTGAGACCTGCGGAAAGGCGGTTAGAATGGCTGGGGCTGAGGGGATGTTGAGGGAGGGCTGTTGGAGATCAAACTAGAGCTGGCCTCAATTTTCTTGATACTCTGAGAGGTAAGGCAGTCTTTGAGAGTAAGAGGGTGGGGATTAAACTGGGGGCTTGAGGATGGTGGAGAGAAACGTTGTTGAGGGGACTAAGAGAGGAGCTGACACAGGGTACGTGTAATAACCGATGAGCGGTGCTGAGGGCCTGTGCTATGTTAGGCACCACAGATCTACTGTGGCACCTGCTTCAGTTGTGTGGTTTTTCTCCAGGCAGTGCTTCTGCCTGGAATAGAAGCAGATCTTAGCACTAACTCCTAACTCACACCAATTTCGGTCTGAGGGAATGGTAGGGTGTAACTTGAATAAGTCTTAAAATTGCCTTGCACTTCTTCATGATGAAAACACTCAACAAACTCAGAAAAGAAGGGAACTTCCTCAGTCTGAAGGGAGCATGTGCAGAAACCTTACAACTAAGGTCATACTTAATGGTAAAGACTGGGTGCTTTCCCGCTGGGATAAGGAACAATGATGTATGTTCTCACCACTTCCGTTCAGCTTTGTACTGGAAGTAGCCGAGACAGCTCAGCAAGAAAACAGAACAAAAAGCATCCAGATTGGAAAGGAAGAAATAAAACTATTGCTGTTTGCAGATAACATGACCTTGTATAAAGTTCTGAGGATTTTCTAAAAATTTATTAGGATGAGTTCAGCACGGTTGTAAGCTGTAAAAGCATTCTACAAAAATCGGTTGTATTTCTGTACACTTGCAATGGACAGTCTAACAATGAAATTAAAAAACAATTTCATTTACCATCGTATGAAAAAGAATGCAATCCTTAGGAGTAAAGTTACCAAATGAAGTGCAAAACTGACAATGTGAAAATTTATGAGAGATTATTGAAAGGAACTGAAGAAGCCCTCAATAGATGAAAAGACATCCCATGTGCATGGACTAGAAGACTTGATTGTTAGAATAGCTGTGCTCCCCAATCCCTATTCCAGTCCCAGCGGGTGTCTCTGAAGAAGTTGACAAGCTGATCCTAAAATTCACATGAAAATGCAAGAGACCCGTAATAGCCAAAGCAGTTTTGAAAAAGAACGAAACTGGAAGACTCTCACTTCCCAATTTTAAGATTTACTACAGAACGACGGTAATTAGGACAGTGTGGTACCGGCATAAAGACAGAGGTAAATGGAATAGAATTGAGAGTCTGGAATTAAGCCTATACTTTTACGGTCAACGCCATTAGTATTAGTTGAGTAAATCAAATCAAAATCACAGTGAGATACCACTTCACACGTGGTAGGATGGCTATAAAAAAAAACCAAAATAATATGTAGGCAAGGATGTGGAGAAATTAGAACCCTCATACTTTGCTGATTGCAATGCAAAATGTTGCAGAGCTTTGGAAAACAGTTTGGCAATTCCTCAAAAAGTTAAACATGGAATTACCGTATGACCCAGCAATTCTGCGTCCAGGTATAAACCCCAAAGAATTGAAAACAGGGACTCAGACTTATATTTGTATGTGACTGTTGACAGCAGCATTATTCACAAGAGTCAAACTGTGGAAACAGCCCACGTATTCCTGAATGGATGAATGAGTAAATACAATGTAATTTATACGTCCAATAGAATATTACCCAGTTATAAAAAGGAATGAAACTCCGATTCACGCTACAATATGGATGAACCTTGGAAACATTACGCTAAGTGAAATAAGCCAGACACGAAAGGACAAGTACTGTATGATTCTTCCTATATGTTACCTAAAAGAGGCAAATTTATGAAGATAGAAAGTAGATTAGAGGTTCCTGAAGTCTGAGGGAAGGGGGAAATGGGGAGTCAATGTTTAATGGGTACAGTTTCTGTTTGGATGATGAAAAAATTCTGGAAATTATGGTTGCACATCATGAATGTACGTGATGCCACTAAACTGTCTACTTATGTATATCATATATATATATTTTAGATTATATATTTTACCACAACTTAAAAAGCTGTGTGTCTGAGTAGGGTGAAAAACCTAGCAAGTACTCAAAAAAAGGTAAAAGAAGACTAAATTATTTTATCAAGACTCAAAAAACGCAACTCTGATACATGTTACAATGTAGATGAACCTGGAAAACATGCTAAGTTAAGTCAGTCAGGCACAAAAGGACACATGTTTTATGAGTCCATTTATATGAAATATTTAGAAAGAGAAAGTAGATGAAGAGTTACCAGGGGCTAGGGGGAGGGAACTAAGGGAGTTACTGCTTAATGGTTACAGAGATTCTGTTCAGGGTGATGAGAAGTTTTGGAAATAGACAGTGATGATGGTTGTACAATACCACGGATGTAATTAATGCCACTGAATTGTACATTGTTTAAAAGGACAAATTTTGTTCTATCTGTTTTACCATCCACACAAAAAAAACCAAATGAAGTGCTGTTACATACAACATGGATGAATCTTGAAAGCATTATGCTGAAAGAAGTGAGTGAGAAAGGACCATATTGTATGTATGATTCCATTTAAATGAAATAGCCAGAAAAGACACATCCAGAGACAGAAAGGAGATTCATGTTTGCCAAGGGCTGGGCTGGGCTGGGCTGGGGTGGGAGTGGGGTGAGAAGGAGGAAGTGGAGGGTATTAAAAGTGTATAGGGTTTCTTTTTGAGAATTTTGAACATGTTCTAAAATCGACTGTGATGATGGGTACACAACTTTGAACATACTCAAAACCATCAAACTGTACACTTTAAATGGGTGAATTGTGTTATGTGAATTCTATCTCAATACGGCTGTAACAACAATGAAAAATTAGCTGTGGGGCAAGATATATGCAAAGCAATCCAAGGACACCCTTCTTGGTAATTACAGGACAAATGGAAATAAAAAGACCCCTCCCTCTGGATCTCAGTTATCGATACAGACTGGTCTGTGCACATTCGAGACTGGCAGCTCGGCTGGATTTTTCTGGTTGAATCAGGCAAGATTTATATCCCCCTCCAATTAGCAGTAATTATCTGTGTGTCTGCAAAACCCTCACCCCAGGCTTGGTGTGAGGAAGGGGGCTTAATTCAACAAAAGGACTAAAATACTCAGAGGAGGTCTTGCGACTGCAATTTTATTTCTTTTGTGAAAATAAACAACTGGGAGTTTAAACTGCTCCAAAAAACCCCCATAAAAACAAAAGGAAATACACACAGAAGAAGCTTGTGAGGTGATGGGGGAGGGAGGAGGGTCTGTAGAGCTTTGGCAGATTGTGCTAGCACTGGCCCAGGTGACAGAAGCCAGACCTCGGAGCCAGGTCCTTTCTGCCACTCTGGGGCTGTGAGGGGACATCTTGACTGATGAGGGGGTGGAACACAGGCTTCTTCACTGAGGAAGTGGCAGGCACCTTGAGGCCCTTTAAATGCAGGGAAGAACCATTTCAGAGGACCTCTTCCCCTGCCGAGAGCTGGAGGCTGGCGGGGTTAGGGCCACTGATGGAAAGGACGCTGGTGGAGACAAACCAGGCCAAGGTGTCTTCTGACACGGTCACAGCCTTACACTGGGCAGAGGATGAAGAAGATGAAGGCAGGAACCAATGGAGTTCAGCAAAGGAGAGACACGTGGGCCAGGTGAAGGGGAATGATGCCCAGGAATGGGATGGAGATGGAGAGGCGGCGGGCTGGAAATGGCAGCGCTGGCCACATGCAGACTGGGTGGGGGAAGCCGGGACACACGGGACGATGAGGAGAGGGAGGAGGGCAGAAAGTCCAAGAGGTAGAGAGAGAGGCGTCTTCTGCCCAGGTCCAGCCACCACTGCACATACAGGAAGAGGAACACTACTTTTCAGTTTTCAGTTCTCGTTTTTTTTTTTTTTAAGTTTTTTTTGTTTGTTTTGTTTTGTTTTTTAAAAAAGCCTTAAGTTCAGCTACTGGTTACATCTACAAAATGTAAAGTGCTGCCGTTAAGCACTTTACAGAACAGTCCAGAGTGGTCAAATATTGACCAATAAAGTTTCCTTTTTGTCTTTTCTTCTGCATCATTACTACTCGATGAGTCACGTGACAGCCTGCATGGGTCAGGGGGCAGCTCAGTGGGCAGACTTGGTGACCAAGGAAAGAGGCTGGGCCTGGAGAACAGGGAGGGCCTGGTGGGCATGGAGCGTGGCTGGGAAGGACGGGGGGGACGTCAGCAGAGCTGCGGGCACAGACCCCAGGGGCAGAGGCCGGGACAGGAGCGGGGGCTGGCTGCCCATCTGGCCAGAGGAGGTGGCCGCCGCCTTCCCTGACAGGAAGGCCGCAGAGTGGAGCGCCAGCTGGGCCCGGGTCTCTGGCTTGGTGGTGAGGGAGAGGGGCTGCGCTTGCTCTGAGTGGGTGGCGGCCGGGGCGGCCGGGGAGGCCAAGGCCGCGGAGGGGGTGGCCGGGGAGTCCAGCATGCTGCCGTGGGAGGAGGCAGGGCTGTCACAGGGCTTCTCAGGCGGCAGGTACTGCACACATGGCTTCTTGCTTTTGGAGGCCAGAGCACCTAGGGAAAAAAACAAACAAACAAACAAACAAAACAAATGAAAGAGTCAGCAGCTAGTGGCGTTGGGTGAGGTGGGGGCGAGGAGGAGGGGACAGCTCAGTGGTAGAGTGCACGCTTAGCATTCACAAGGTCCTGGGTTCAATCCCCAGTCCCTTCATTAAAAAATAAATAAACTTAATTACCCTGCTGCACCACCCCACCAAAAAAAGAATGCCTACCAGGAGGGAAGTGAGAATCTGAAATCATGACTGAGGCTTTCAAGATCCAGACACTGACAGCACAGGGAAGGGGCAAGGCCCAAATGCCAAAGCCTGTTCAGCGTCTGCCTGGAGGGAGGCAGCTCAGCCTGTCAGGTCGTCTCCTCTGCCTAAAAATCTCATCACTCTGGGGCTGGATCTCCACTCAATTTGCGGTGAAATCTTTGGTTCACGGTACTGCTGGAGACAGTGTAGCACCTGCCAAGCAGCATGGTATACGGTGGGCTTTGCATCATACAAGTTTACTTACATGTACCCAGACTTAGATGAATACACAAAGGATACAGAGACAGAAAGGAAAGGAGGAGGAATAAAAAGCAGATGGACCCAGCAATTCCGTATGTGTCCTGGGACGTGGGAAGCGTGATCAAAATATGGGTCACCGTGTGAGCCTCTCTGCTGGGTGATTCTGGTGTGAAAAGATACAGTACATACTCGGGGTACAAAGGGGCCCCCAGCAAACTCTTTCTGGTATTCGACCACCCAGACACTGGAGGAAAATCTGATTCTATTGGATTCACCGGTAGGAGGTGCATCAATCTCTTAACGGGCCGGTTTTCTAAGGCAATTTCAAGGATCCTTCCAGCTGTATTCAGTTTTTACCTTGCGCACTGACTTCAGAACCTAACCCTCAAATGAGATGCAACTCAGCTGCACTGAAAAGCTCCTCGTCTTCCAAGTGAGAGAGTGCTGGGACTGAGTCCCACCGCCACCTTCAACAAGGGGCGTGACTGGGAAAATCCCTTCACGTCTCTGAGCCCCGGAAGTGATCATCTCCAAAAAGGGGGTGACGGTAACACCCACCCGAGTGGGCCTGGGGCGGAGGCCTTGGAAATGGCGGTTATTACCATACAGCATTGTCTCCGTGTCCTTCAGAGACCAGGGCAGGGCCCCGGCAGGTGTAGCTGCACGGCGGGAAGAAGTCAAGATGCGGCGCCTCCTTAAGACCTACCTTCTGCCTCCTGGGCTGGCGGCTGGGACTGGGTCTGCGACAGCTGCTTTTCTCGCTTCCTCTTCTTTTTCTTACCCTGGAAGATACAGCCAAAGGGAGAGGTGAGCAGAGGCAGAATGCCTGGCTTTTCCGGGGGACTCCCAGCTACGAAGCAGGCAGATGGGAGCTGCTCATCCCAGGCGCGGCCCCACGGGAGGCAGAGTGAGACATCCCGGAAGGCCGCCTCCCGCCCTCACTCCGACCCGCCTTCCCGCTCGGGGGTCCTGGCTTTCTTGGAAGGCCTCTTTCTTTCCTTGCCCTCCAGGCTTATTTTCTGTTTCTCTCCCTAGAACTGTGTGGGGTTCCTGATCTTCTTGGACGGGGTCCCAGGTCTCACTGAAAATCTAACACAGCTCTGAAGACTCTTCACAGAAGAAAAGCAAGCAAGAACGTACATTCAACAACCTGCCCAGTTTCAGGGCGTTTGTCAGAAGTGCCAGCAGCGGCTCGCACGCTGGTCTCTGAAACCCCAGGGTGGGAAGCCTTGGCCAGAGACACTGTGACCAGCAGAGCTAGCACACAGCTCACACGGCACCCTGAATTACAGAACTAAAGGTTGAGTCCGCTTCCAATGGGATGGGCACAAATTTAAGTCTGTCCTCAGCACACCAAAACCAAGACCTTGTTGATCTCCTGAGAATTAAAATGACTTCCTTCCGTCTAGGGAAACAGATTTCTCCCTGGGTCCTCTACAAACAGGGTCAACATCCTTCTCCCCTCTTCCTCTGGCAGAAGCTGATCCTGGGGTCCGAGTGGGCATCACGTACGTAGTTGTCCCGGGCTGACCAGGTCGGGTAGAGCTGTGAGTGAAGCTGCCGCTCCTTCCGGGCCAGTTCGTAGTACTTGGCCTGCTCTTCTCGGGACAGGTTGTGCCACTGCGGGAGAGAGGGCCGGGGACGGCCGGGAGCGGTGAGCACGGGGGATGCCGAGCCGCGCGGCCCGGAGCGCAAGGACGGACTTTACCTTTCTCCCCAGGATCTGGTTGATGGCCGCACTCTCCTTCAGGGTGCACTCGGCCACCACCTTGGCCCTCATCTCCTTCATGTACAACATGAAGGCATTAAGAGGCTTCTTCACGTGGGGTTTCTTTTCTTCCTCTTTTTTCACTGGGACTGGCGATTTCCTGGGAAGTCACAAGGCTGGGGGTTAGCATGGGTTGGCCGGCACCTTCCGGCACCTTCCACGGAGGCGGAGGGGATGGCTGGGGGCAGGGGGAGGGAGATGAGCCGCTTGGATGCGATTCAGGTGGCCCCGAGATTTCAGGGCCTGAGGATCCGGTTCCCAGCCTCTGACTGCCCTCAGGCCTCATTCTAGGAAAAGACAATCTCCTGACAAAGGAGAACGGGGTGGTGAGATCTGGGATGCACCGGCCCCAGGTGGGGAGGAGGAAGGGGGCAGGGCACTTCAGGCAGAAACAAGACGGGGGTCTCCTTGGCCACGAGGCACTGACTTTGGCTCTCCTGCCGTCTCATGGCATAGTGGACAAAGCACGGCCTCAGTGCTGGTCTCGGCTCTGCCACTGGCCATCCACGCGGCCCTGGGAAACTGTTCCTTTCTGGGCCTTGCAGCTGTCAAGTATATGGGGGGGTGGAGGGGAGGAAGCTACACACTCCCTCAGGTTCCCTTTCAGTCTCAAAATCCTGATCGTAAAACATTCCTTAGCATGAGAAAGGCTGTGCGGTGTCTCAGAGGAGGGGAACCCCAAGGGTCAAAGGGAACAAGTCCCAAGGGAGAGGATGCGGCCGAGGGAGGCTGCCGGGCCCCCTGCTGAATTCCCCCTCACCCCTCACCCCCATCCCGGCTGCCCGGGACTCACGCGCTCACTGCCGGGCTCAGGCTGGGGGGCGCCGGTTCCTGCTTCACGATGGGGGAGACGATGGCGGGGTGGGGGATCCCTGAGGTGGGCAGACCAGGATGGGCCGGAGCCACCATGTGAGGGGAGAACCGACTGGAAACCAGGCTGCGTGCCAGGTGGAAACAAAGACAACAGACGGAGTCAGGCTGCAGCCTGTCACCCACCAGTAGACACCCCTGCTGGGGCGGAGCTGGGGCATGGAAGGCCACGCACTGACCGCGGCAGAACCCAGTTTGGGACACCGACTAACCTCCCCGCCCCCACAAACGCACAAGATTCCTCCATCTGGTGCAGAAAGCAGGTAGGACAAAAAACACAGAGAAAAGGTGTGGCGGAGGTGGGAGGGTGTAGCTCAGGGGTGCTTAGCATGCATGAGGTCCTTTGGTTCAACCCCCAGTACCTCCATTAAACAAACAAACAAACCTAATACTTCCCCCTCCTAGAAAAAAAACAAGAAAGTGCAGCGGGTCAGCGGCCAGGGCACACGGAGGGGAAGGAAGGGCCTGTGCTGTGCGATGCGTGGCCTTTGTCACTGGAGGTGCTGTTGCCAGGTAGATCGGCCCCTGAGACAGAATCCCCACACTGTCCCCCGTCCTGACGTCATTTCAGGAACAGTTAATCCTCTCCCAGTCTCTGGCTTCAGTTGATGCACACAAAATGCTCAGGGCCACAGAGCCCAGCCCACAGGGGGACTGGGTGCAGAAGGGCTGGGTGCGAGGGCTTTGCCATTCTTCTCTCAGAGAGGCAGGCACGAGCGAGCTGAGCCTGTGGTCTCCGTCCCCACCAGCGGCGTGAGGAGGTGCCTCGTCAGAGAGGTGGGGAAGGACGGAAGGTGAGCCCCTGCCCAGAGAAGGCTGTGTAACGGTCACATCTGGCACGAATGCTAATAGACGACCATCCCCAACGCTGCCATTTCATGCTCACAGCCCCAGCCCCAGGACTTACCTGGACATCGAGGCGTTCATGGCAAGGGCAGGGTAGGGGTGCCGGAAGCCACCGGGAGGAAGGGAGTACATGGGCTGTCCTTGCCTACAGGGACCAGGAGCAAGGAAATCCGGTCAGCAGATTGGCTAAAATGGGAACATCCAAGACAGGGAAGGAGGGGGGTTGGGAAGAAAGGATGATTAAGTAAAAGGCAGGAAGTAGGAGTTGGGAGGAAGCTGCCCTGGGGAGGGCAGGGAGGTCCGTCCCCGGCTTTGATGAAAGGGCGCCTGTGGGACCCCAGGGCAGGCTGGAGGTCCGGAAGGCAGAGCTCAGCATAGGGAAGGAGGGAGGCTAAGAAAGGCTGTAAGTTTCCTTACTGTGGGACGAGCCAGCCGAGGGGATGGGGGATTTGTCCGACAGCTCCGGGAGACAGTGGGTAATATGGCGACAGCTCAGATGGGTGAGGGGGCCGAGGGATTCCTGCTTCCAAAGAGAGATATGTCAGATGGTTCCCTGGCTCTACCTGAACACCTTACACCAGCAACTCCCAGCTACTTACATAGGAGTCGTTTAAGAGACAGGCAGCAATCTTGGACTGAGAGACCCAAGATATCCCCAGAGTCGTCAGCTAGAAAACCCACCTTGTTCACGGAAAAATAGACTTTGGATCTCCCATCCACATTTGTCCTCCTCATTATCTGTAACTGGTAGGAACTATGCTTTCTCTAAAGAGGGGCTCCGAAGATGCTTTGAGCCATGGCAACTTGGTGGGAATTGATAAACACTGTGGCTCCCTCTGGGATGGACAGTTTGGGCAAGTGGAAAAAAGAAGCCAGCTCAGCCTTACTGCTTTGTAGCTATACATATGCACCTGGCTGGACCGAGTGTACTTGAGGATGTTCGGTTTAGGGCACAGGTCTGGGTTTAGGGAGGCACAGCCTGCAGCTGGGCTGGACTTCAAAGTCAATGAAAAAGGAGATGTTTTTTCCCTTCCAGCTCATCCCACTCCTAAAGCGTTGAGAACCTAAAGTGAGAGAAACAGCGGCCGAACAGCACCAAATGCGTGCTGTGGGACCAGGCCCCAGGGGTTATCTCATTTCTCTTCCTTATCCTCACAGTGACCCTACATAGACGGGACAGGTAAGGGACAGCTGAGAAAACTGAAAAGGCTAAAGTTAGTGGGCAAGGTTACAGACTCTTGTGAGTCGGAGACATGGTTTGAACCCAGGTCTGCCTGATTCCAGGGCTGAGATGGAGAAGGAAGCCTGCCCCCTCTCAAGCTCTGGGCCAGGCCCAGCCTGGGCCACAGCCGACTCACCTGTCTTTGGATCGATCTCTGGGGACAGGTGTGCGGGAGGGGAGCCGGGGGAGAAGTGGTCATTGCTGTAGGTGATGAGAGGTGTCAACGGGTGCATGTGATGCGGGTGCTGAACAACAGGAACTTTATTCGACTGGAAGACAGAGAGGAAGGCTAAGGACGGTTGCCAAGGAGATGGAAAGTACCGGCAGAGCCTGCAGATACTGCGGGCTCGGGTCCAGGGCACAGCAATAACGCGAACAAATCACATGAATTTTTTGGCTCCCCAGCACATATAAAAGTTACGTTAAAAAAAAAGTTATGTTGACACTACACTGTCGTCTGTTAAGGGTGCACTGACATTCTGCCTAAAGCAATCTACATACCCTAATTAAAAAATGCTTTATTGTTAAAAGGTGCTAACCATCACCTGAGCCTTCAGCGCGTTGTAATCTCTTTTGCAATAGTAACATCAAAGATCACGGGACCACAGATCACCACAACAAACATAATAATCATGAAAAAGTTTGATATACTGTAAGAATTGCCAAAATGTGACACAGGGATGCAAACTGAGCACATGCTGTTGGAAAAATAGGGCCGACAGACTTGGTCGACACAGGGTTGCCATAAACCTTCAATCCGTAAAAAAATACAATTATCGGAGAAATGCAGTAAAGCGAAGAGTGGTAGAACGAGGTCTGCCTGTAAAACCTGCGGCTGTTTACTGAGTCGCGTGCATGCCAAGTATTTTCCACGCAGCATCCCGTTCAGTCCTCACAGAGTCCTTGCGAGAAAGCAGCCATCTACACAGCAGGATCAGAGGAGGGATTCCACCCACCCTCCTACATACCTGCTTCAGAAACGACCCACCACTATTGACTGCATGTATACTGTGGGGTGCTGCGGGCTGCCGAATTGTAAACCGTGCTCTGGGTAACCCCAGCGAAAGGTCCAACACATGCTCTCCAGATATGCTTCGCAGACATAGCAGCTCCCGGGTGCAGGTCTGAGGCTGGGACCAGAGCAGCGAGGGAACGGGCACCATCAGACCTCACGTGACCAGCTGTCACGTTCAGGCTTTGCAGACACCACCAAGAGCACCTGAAACAGCTCTCCCTGGAGTGTTTCAAACGCTCTGCTGACCTAATGACTACATTTCATTTAAAATACCCCTGAACCTAAGGAATGCCATTATTTTATATAACTGTTAAGAAAGCAAAAAACACTAGCAGGTCATTGACCCTTCCTGATTTCACAAACGTTAAAAAGGGGAAAAACCTGCGTGTCCTGGAAATTAGTAAACTGAATTAATTTTTTAAACTGTTTTAACCTATTCTGACTTAACAATAAGGCTTTTTATTAATTTTGAAAAATGGCTACAATCCTTATTATAACCTAGCAAAGCTACGATTAGCTTCATTTGACAAACAAGGAAACGGAGCTTGGGACGATTAAGTGACAGCCTGGGACACAGAGCCAGTAGTGCAGACATGGATTCATATCAGCCCTTCCATAGTGTTTTCCCAGCACTGGCGCCCTTCCCAACAGTCTAATCACAACATATCTGTCAGAGAAAGGACTGAAAATACTTTTTTGGCGGGGGGGATTGGATAATGAGGTAAATGAGTTACAAATGGAGAAGAGATTTATTTAAAAAGAAATTTGTAAAAAGAAACAATGATTTGGAGGCATGTCAGGGGCCAGAATTCCAAACTGCTGTCTTCCTGGCTGAATGTTTAATTGCACTGATTCCCTGAGCCCTTTTTTCCTTTTACTCGGTTGCCCCTTTGGTGCTCATCATGCAAGCTACAGTCTGCACATCTCCTAGGTATTCGTGTGCTGATGGTAGCCTGGCTCCATTTTAGCAGGCTAAGCAGAGATGAGAGGCAGAGTATTGGAGCAGGCAACGAGCCCAGGCGTCCAGAGCCCAGGGGTCCAGAAACCAGACCCACAGATGTGAGGTCAACAATTCAGACGCTTAAGAACTTAGAATTGATGGAAAACAGTATGGAGATTCCTCAAAAGACTAGGAATAGACTTACCATATGACCCAGTCATCCCACTCCTGGGCTTATATCCAGAAGGAACCCTACTTCAGGATGACACCTGCACCCCAATGTTCATAGCAGCACTATTTACAATAGCCAAGACATGGAAACAGCCTAAATGTCCATCAACAGATGACTGGATAAAGAAGATGTGGTATATTTATACAATGGAATACTATGCAGCCATAAAAACTGACAACATAACGCCATTTGT